CAAATACATTAACTTCATTTCATCATTTAATAAAAAACTATTCAACAGGATTTCAAACTCCTCTACAAATTGTAAATAATCAGCTGGGTTTGCGTCGAAATACCGTGGTTGAAATTTAGGGAGTTTGATATTCCTATTACCCTGGACGGCGAAACAGTATTATCAGCCATGTCAGGCTTAACATCAGACACATCGCTACAAGTAACAGACAAGTCACAATGACTTACTTTCCTGTTTGCATCCAAGACGCTCTGTCCCTTCTTCGACTCAGGTATTGTAGAACTTGACCCAATTCCAAAAACGTTCCAGATATTGCTTGAAGAAGAAGACTTGGCCGGCAAGAGGAAACATGAACGGTGACCATCCAAACTTTCACCAACTGTCTGAATCCGTGAGAAACTGACTCGACCGTCAAAATCTGTCAGCCACGTCTCGTAAACCGTTAATGCCCAGCTATTGCTACGCTGGGACTCACGCTATTCCTCGAAGCTTCCCAGAAACGCTTAGTACGAACGAACGCATAAACCAGAACCCAGTTTGGCGACTCGAGAATTCTATATTCTAACACCAACATATAGCCAATATACAACTAACGTCTATGTACAAGTATTACAATAATAAATCACGATATTACTTCTGACGGTTTCGTCCTGACTTCTTTCTGAACAGTGACCGATGAGACGATGACTGCCGTATTGATGACTCTCGCGAAAATTATTGACTTGGTTTGGGCACAAACCATGAATTGATCGTTCAATCTTCAACTAAAATGATACACGCTGTTGAAAATATTATTGTGGTCAGCAGTGGTAATTGCGGTTTTGTAATCTCACATGTAAGTGGCGTCTATCAGTTCATGTGAAGGCTAAAATACTGCCCGGGTCTTCATGCCAAAGCAGGTGGTAGTCTCAAGAGGCTATCCCCAAGTGTCTGACTTACAACTTTATCTACAAGCCAATGGAGAAGCTTCAGGATCTGCGTTCTCATGGTTGCTGGTGTTCGAAGCGGCCTTATGCGCCATTCGATCCGCTCGGTTTCCGGAGACTATGTGCACCAGGGTTTGGAATCAGTGTTTTTCAACTCACCTGTTTAAACCTTAGTGTTCACAGGCTCGGTAAGCGTCAGATGTTCACAATCCCCCCATCACTTTTGTGAGGAACATCCCGAATGCAGTAAATAGGACCTGCCTGACAGAATCTATCTACGCATGGCCGCATTTTTGGACGAAGGCGGGAGTCGAACTGCCCTCAATCGTGCCAGGAACCTGTCAATTATACGAGCCCCAAACTTTTTCAACAGAAACAGTGTTGGCTATGTATTTCTGTCGAAGATAAACGGTTCGCCAGAAAATCGATAGTGATGACGCAGAGCCCCTGAAAACAGGAACGAGTGTAGAAAATCTTAAATCAACCACGAAATCCCAGGGCCAGAAAACAGTTTTTGAACTGAAAATCCAGAGTGCGGTGTATGTTTTTCAATTCTGGATACAACTACAAGAAGTATCTTTGAACGTTTTGAGTTAGACGAAAACATGGACAACACTGTAGTTGAACCAGTCAATGCATTTTGGATTATGGTGGCTTGGAAAAAACTAACACATGCAGATATAATTTCAAAGTCTCAGTGACTTAAGGCTAAGTGCAGGAAACTAACTTCACCTGGGTAGTACCAAAGAGTGAGAAGTCGGCAAACCACAGGAAAGAAAAAACTATTGAGTCTAATAACAAGGTTTCTACAGCCATCAATACTCTTTCTAAAACTACTAACTCAAGTTGCGGTTCAGCTATTAGGAACTTGGAGGAGTCGAAAGAAGTAGGCCCAGCTTTTCGACATGCTCATTATCTCGAGGTGGTTAGCTCTCTTATTCGTGAAATACTTCCTGAAAAATCAAATGGAGTCCATAAAGGAAATGTTATTAGAATCGGCCAAAGAAATGCTGATGTAACGGAAATTTCCAGAAGACTATTGAAATTGGCACCAACGAAAGAGGTGGAGAATATTTCAATTCTCGACAACTCACACAAGATCGAAAATTAAGAGTCCAGAATAAAACCTAATTTACCGTTTGAGGATCTGATTAAAAAGAGAAAGCCGTAGTTTAGTTTAAGACTCGGATAGAAAAAGAGGAAAAGGGGCATAAAACAGCATGAGTTACCGAGTTCTCTATACGTAATTCGAGTGAACACATAGGTGTACCAGTGTGTTATAAGAATGCATGTAGTCTCAGGAATAAGTCCCTCCGATTACCAGTATTACCTGAAAGACTACAAACTAATATTACTGCTGTTACTGAAACTTGGTTGTTCGCAGGTGTGGACCTCACTGCACTCATGCTGGGGCACATCCTCCTGAAGGTAGACGGTATAGTTAATCGAAGAGGTGGTGGGGTTGTCCTATACTTTCGGAATGACATGGGAATTAGGTCAGTTTCCTCAGAAGCTCACGGTAGCAGCACTCGCGAAGCTGAAAGCTGTGTTATTAACTTGAACAAAGGTACGGTTACTGTTAGAGCTATTCATCGAAGTCCTGCCATTCAGGCCGATGACCTCGTACTAAATCACCTGAAGGCGTGAAGTAGTAGAGATATTTATGTGATAGTAGATGAATTCAATGCTCTACGTAATAACTGGGCGGATTCAAGATCAACTAGCTTGTATACCCGTTTCGACAAAGAATTTCCTCTGACTGCCCTCGAATGTGAGCTTGGGCAGCGTGTACATGAAACAACACTACAATGCTCTGAGCATGATGCATCCTCTCTGGATTTTGAGCCAACACACCAGAAAGATGTAAGCGACATTAGGTGCCTCCCACCACTAGGCATTAGTGACAATGTAGTCATTACTTTTACGCTTAAGATTAATGGTTTCATACATAGGTCGACATCCACCTTTTAAAACATTTGGAAAACGAATATACTGGCAATCTGGACAGCCGCCACCCTAGCTGGCTGATCATTTACTAGAAATGGGACTGTCGAAAGAGCTCAGGTGAGATTTCGCAGTGCGTCAATTTACTTTTTGTACCTTGGTCTTCTCCTTAAAAGCTATCGCATAAACCACCTTGCATTATTAGTGAAACAAGGGAATCGTTAAGAAAGAGGAAAATTTCATGAGACCGGTTTACTCTAACAAAGACAGAGAAGTTTCGGATGAGCCAGCGAAGAGTTTGGAACCTGTGTAAGCATATGATTGATAAAAGTTCCATGGAGTACGAGGGACTGTTAGATTTGGAGTATGCACATAACACGATAAGAATGCACCCATTTACTAAACGTAGGAGTAAAATTTGCTGTGGTGTAGAGTCAGTGGTAAGCAATGCTGGAGAGGCGATTGAATCAAGTGAAGCAAAGGCTGAAAACCTTTCCGAATTTTTCTCTTCTGGCCGCATCACCCAGAGGCTAGGTAAGGTCACTGCCATCTCTACTGAAATCCCCCCCAATTGTGGTGGACGATGCAATGGTTGTCATTCTGTCTAAATTGAAGCCTGATAAATCACCATGGCCTGATTGACTCCGCCCCAGACTCTTTGTCTCCGTGATGGATATAATAACCATTCCACTTACAGCAATTTTCAGAATGTCTCTGGCACAGGCTAGGCTGGAAGGATGTAATCATGAGTTCCATCTTCAAAGAGGGGAGCAGATTGTTGGTATCTAACTACCAGCCTATAAGTCTGACATGCACTGTAGCAAGGGAAACAATCATTAAGGATCAGCTCTTTGTTCATATGGAGAATAAATGCTTATTGGAGGTGGAACAGCATGGATTCTGGCCACGACGGCCCTACCTAACAAGCCTGCTATCAGCTAGGGGGATAAAGACAAAGCCGGGGATAAGAACCTTCTAGTGGAAGTAGTTTTGTTGATCTTACTATGGCATCCGATGAAGTATCTCACTTAGGTCTCCTTAGTAAACTAAAAGGTTGTGGACCAGACCACTATGTGAGTGTTTTAGCGGCTGCCTAGGGGCAGAAGGCAGAAGGTAAGGGGCGAAAGTGCAATGTCAGGGTGGGACATTGCATTGAGTGATGTACATCAAAGAACTGTACTGGGCCCCTTTTATTCTAATTATACGTAAATGAACTACCTAAAATTATTACCTCACTTCATTGTTATTTGAGGACGATATTAAAACCTGAAAAACTATAAATAACGATAGTAGCTCAGTCCTATAAAATGATCCAGATAAATTCTCTAGATGGTCTAAACCCAGAAATTTGGAGATTAATCCCAGAATATGGGAAAGGATGCACTTAGGTCAGAGGTGTTACACATCATACCTTCTGCGGGGCTCAGAAGTGCCCGATGATAAGGGATGAAAGGACCACGAGATTATTGCCAACTATGATTTAAAAACAACTGCATATTGTAGTAAGCCTATAGATGAAACTTTTAAACTGTTATGGGCACTTCAAATGGGCTCTAAATGGACTAGGTGGATGTATATTCGAAGCACTTTACGCACCCAATAGCAGGTCTCATCTAAAATACTGTGTGCAAGTGGTTAGCCCATGCTTCAGGGAGAAGCCATCTATATCGGAGGGGGCTCAGTGGGTAGCAGCTAAGTTGGTTAGTGATATCTCACGCCCTCTCTATGAAAAGAGGATGAAACACTTAGATCTCTTCCCATTATCATACCGAAGACGGAGATGCGACTTAATTTCAGCACACTGTATGGTGAAGGGTGATTTAGGAGTCAATCTCGCTAACCTTCTCTCTCACTCTAGGACAATTTGTGGGACTACCCCAAAAAAGGTGCCCAAACCACGGACGAATAGAACACATGTGGAATTTAGACTCTCTCATAGAGTGGTTTACGTCTACAACTCCTAACCCGACCAAGTATTGTCAGCTCCATCCATGAACATTTTCATAGAGAAATTAGATCTCTGCACACACATATATTGCAAATATCAATGCAGGACACAAGAGTCAAGTATCCCTATTATATGAATGTGAATCACATATAATAGTCACGCTTATTTAAAGTCAATAACCTGGGTATTTTTGGTAGACCAATCAAAAACACTTTACAAGTTATCTGGAAAACAAAAGACAGTAATAACAAGACCTCAGCCAATTTACAGCAAAAATCTCAGATGATCAATCTCAGCAGCCCGAATACTTTCTTCGGGAACATGGTTATAGAACATTGAATCCAAAAGGTGTTTGTTCTTCGCCAAATAAGTCGTGCGCTCCACATTTAAGTCTGCCGTGTAAGCGGGAATTGTTGGTTCAGCGTGCTTTGCAATCATGGCTAATACACCGAAAATTTCTCTAAAGCGGAAGGTTGGTTGAAATATACTTATATATTCGTGGCTATAAAGTTCATAAAAGCCGGAGTTTTCAAGGCTGAGTTGGATGAGTTCCTAAAACGTGAATTGGCTGATGATGGATACAGCGGTTTCCAAGTGCGCGAAAGCCGTAAATACACAGAAGTTATTATACTAGCTACAAAAACACAAAGTGTTCTCGGCGAGGGTTCAAGACGCATCCGAGAGCTCACATCAGTCTTGCAAAAGCGTTTTGGATTCCCTGATGGAACTTTAGGACTATTTGCAGAAAAAATGACCTTCCGCGGTCTGAGTGCTATCGCACAAGCAGAGTCTCTCAGATACAAGCTTACATACGGTCTGCCTGTTCGGAAGTAAGCCTGTAGTTTGCTGAGTCATATTGTTAGGGCGTGTTACGGTATCTTGCGTTTCATTATGGAATCCGGAGCAAGGGGTGCAGAGGTGGTTGTTTCCGGTAAAATAAAGGGTCAAAGAGCTAAAGCCATGAAGTTTTGTGATGGTTTAATGATTCATTCTGGTGACCCCGTCAACTACTACATTGACAAAGCTGTTCGCCACGTGCAGCTTCCACAAGGTGAGCCATTTTTTCAGTCATTTAGGCTGTTAGGCAAGTGGGCACAGATCCTAATGATCTATGTTTTTCTTTAGGTATACTAGGAATCAAAGTGAAAATTATGTTGGATCACGACAGTTCTGGCAAAAAGGGTCCACGAAAACCTCTGCCTGACTCAGTTACGATTCTGGCCGCTAAAGAAGAAGTACTGCCAACTGCTCCCTACTCTGAAAACAAAATGTAAATAATTTTACAATAAAGTTTGTGGACTGATGGCTTTTTCATCTATCTTCGCGTTAATATGCAACTTAACAATCGGTTTGTTTGTATTTTTGTATGATAATCGGTTATATAGTGCCATCAGGTGTATTAAATCACAAACACGGCTAAGGTTGACCGATGACGGTTACCCATTACACGACAGGTTACTTGTGTAGTCCATTGGTTACCTTAACTACCGTGAGTAAGGTAGTGTCTTAGTTATTACCTTGATGTGTGCTCCATTATCAGTTAACTTGGTAGGAATACAGTTCAACGGAATTCTTACTACGTAGGTTGCACTACTAGTCGAGGTTTACAAATTCAGTCTTCTCTTATTTTGTTTATTTTGCACTCCACAGCTTGATTTTTATAGTTGCTATTGGATGGTGCTGTTTGGGAACATAGCTATTGCAAGTCAGTTTTAATTGAGGGAAGTTTTTAGCACTAATATTTGGGTGAGATTTGAATCTTCCTGCATGTACCCAAGAAAACCGTTTATCCCTCTACTGTGACCTGATCATGTTAGATTGAATGTTGTCTCACAACTGCAGAAGTATTGCTGATATCGGTAAAACTAACTCAATTATCCAGATATCGATGAGTTAGTCGAGCGAATAGAGAGTAACGTCATTCATTCTACGTGGTTCTCACAAATTTTGAACGAGAAATTTGGTGCTCTGTGGATGGTAAATGAGTGGGTTGTCCAACCTCTGATCTTGATAAGATGTAACGTCTTTTCCTCAACAATATTACCACTTAGCGTAATAAATAGTTCTTTACGTGATATCAACCGATGACAAGTTCATTTGACCATATTAAGCCGATAACTTAATCTTTTCCCTTGAATTAGTTTTATATGAGTGTAATCTTTGACCTTATTTGAATATCACATTGTTTGTCGTAGGTACTATACCTCTACCTGCTAGGAAGGTCTTCTTACTGATATCTGCTGCATTGTATGGTGTCGAGTTACTGTAGTAAGCGCTTAGTCATGAAGGTGCGTCTAGGAGCACACTGCACATCAGTCATTGATGCAGTTCACTTCTGGCATCATGTACAAGGTACCTACAGATTGTTCAGAACACCTGTAGGTTGTTGCAGCATGGACTCATAATTTGTACTTCCATCTGTAAGGAGGATAGAAAGTTATCATGTGGCGAATTTTACTAAGTGACTATTCATATGAATACAGTTGATGAATCACATCTGTGAGCTTGCTGTCTAAACTTCCGTAGTTGAATATCAGTCAAATAACCCAATGAGCTATATATCCAGATCATTTGTCCTACTAGACCGACAATACGTAGTGGTAGAATGTCTGACAGAGTGGCGGATTCGAATCCCCGATGCCAGCAACTTGATTTGTTTTCACCTTAGTCGTTCCGCCGAATATGGCTTCGATTTTTCCCGCGTACCATCTGTGTACTTGATTACTTACCAGCAGTCCAAAACAAGCTTTTCATAACCAAGCAAAATTGCTCCTATCTGTATCAATAAATTCCTTTTTGAATCAGTGACTACTGGGTGGAACCCGATTTTTATCGTCTGCAGTATCCCTCTCACTCATCACTAAGTCCACATTCGATCATGTTATTGACCAGGATGTTGACTATCTTGTGGTTTGATATATGTGAATCCCTAGGCGTTGGTTGACAATATGTCTGTTACCATCAAAAAAGTGCTGCGTTCTCTTCTGTATCAGAGATCGTTAATTCATGTGGAAGTCTGTTGGTGACTTGACTCTAATCAAATTGAGAGTAAAAGGTTACTTCACTGACTACTTGTTCATCATATTGAACCCAACAGTGTATTGTCACCTCAGGTATCTTATTCGAAATTCACTATCGAGTCCATTACAGGTTCAACTTTAACAAAAACGTTATTATGATGGCCATTTGCTCCACACGTTCATCTAAGTTACTTAGAGTACATTGATGGTATAGAGTGAAATAATTAAGTTTTCTAAGATACTTTTTCCCCTAAACTCAAACTTTTTATTCTGAACCATTGTAAATAAGAGAGTAAAATATTCCTTAGGACGTTCGCCGAACATGCACATGGTCCGGGGTTCAAACTCCGGCTGACGCACTGCTTCGCTTCCTTAAGCCAGAAATAATGCTGGTAAAGAGGAAAGGTTGGGCATGAGGCTAGCAACCCCATCCTGTAAAACAAACACTGCTACAGAAACTTCAAGCCACTAGCTTGGAGCCCTATGTTCCACTGGGGAACGTGAAGGGAAAAAAATATTCGTTGATTGCATCACGGTGAATTTCTTAAGCTCTAGGCATCCAGCAATCGCAAGTTCATCTCCATAACGATGAGTGCGTCAGGCTTTCATCAACATCCGTTACTTACTACGTCTACAAAACATTTGTTAAAAGCGTTGTGTTGCTCCACGAGACTGAAACTGTGAATAGAGTTTGAGGATATATGATAACATCTTGCGTTCGGATATGGTCATCGTCTTGCAACAAAGTGGCAAATATATGAGAATACAGCGTATGGTAGAGAGAATAATTAGTAAGGATGTTGAAATCTGCCTGATACCAAAGGATGAATACATATACACTATTGTCGAGGATTTCGTGCGAGGTCTCCAATCTCTCATTTATACCAACTCGTAGACACCACCCAGCCAGTTAACCTATGGCTCAAATCGACTGTAAGAGTCCCCGGACCTCTGTGATACCTTTATCACACCACTTCTAACTCTTTAATTTGTGTTGTTAGTCAGAGATGACTCGGTATGCACGGCATGTATGTTGACCGTCTCAGTTGATGACTTCTCACCTAAGCACCTATCTATACCTAATATCATTATTGCAGACCATATTGTTCGACATCAGATGAAAGTTCAGACTGGAGTACCTGTAGTCAAAAACCTCCTACTCTACAGATTCTGCACGTCCAATGATCTTGTCTTATTACTGAGGAAACTTCTGTTTAGAGCACTTATCTTTTGATGTATGGACAGGTATAATGCCCGCACCGAAGATGACGGAGTTCGGCAAGGACCAAAGAAAGATTTTGTATTCATTTAAGGATTTCGTCAGCAACGATATCATAAAGGCTGATACAACTCTCTAAATACAACTGAAGTCAGCAATTTCACTTCCCATCCTCAAAACATGAGTCAGTGTAGGGTTATTTCGCACTTGACAGCGGCGAAATGTTTTCCAAGAATACGTGGAATTCCACTTTAAGATCTGGGAAAACTATTTTGTCTATGCCCTCAGCTGGAAGGACTACATCATCTACGTACTTTAGATCAATGAGATTATTCCCAGCTGACAAATTTATTCCCGAGAAGTTAAGGAGACGTCCATTAGTACACCTGTGATTTAAGTGTATGTGATAGGTTACATTTTGGACACTTGGATTTCGTCACTTCTGATAATAGATCTCCATAAGCTATTATACGACTGCGTGAGTTCGAACAAACTGTCTTGATTAGTGCAGCAGGCTTTCTTGGCGCTTCCTTCGTTGCTGGGGTACTCCTTGATGTATGATATCGAAATGTGGCAAGTGTCGAAAGCTAGTAAGTACGCTGTGTTCCCTTACTTGTTGGTGGAGGGAGTAGTCATCACAATTCTATCAGGGCTTAAAGTCCACCTCGTTTATTTCCCCGAAGTCATATCTAGCCTTCACAGGACGTTGGGACATAGTTGTGATGTTAGGCAAAGTGATGATTATACCGTAAAAGGTCTCCTTGATACTGGTTACATACATGCTGTCCAAAGATTATTGAGGTCTTGAGTTTCGTCCGTTTTGTGTGATAATACTCCTTATGGCTCATTAGTAATTAACGGAAGTATATTGAGAATACTATTCAGCTTCACACAGCGTTGTTTTTACCTTTCGAACTATTTTTACAATCCAGTCCGCCTACTTATTACAAAAATAAGTAGTATTGTGACATTCCCAAAAATTAATAAAATTGTCTATCCCACGCCTGATTGAGGTAAACAAGTATTACTCTTACACGAAATATTATGAAAGTTAGCACAAGCCAAACGAGGCTTTTCTTTTCATGTTGAAATCTTATCAGCCCATAAGAATTGATGTAACTTCCTAATCTCTAAACTAAGAGACGGTGCTCATTATTTTCTTCAGTCCGTGTACTGCAAGGTGTGGGGCAAGTCGAGTACCTGCCATTCCGTGTGAAGTTCTACGTTTAAAAACAGACAGTCTGAGAACCGAACGACTTGGTTAGGCTTAACTGTCAGTTAGCACTCACTTTCGCATCCTAGCGCTGATGATTACGGTTATTCCATGTACTGTATTATGAAATATTACCTCTTCTTATGAATCAACAGGCATAGAAACTGAGTATTAATATTTTTGGAGTAGTTTTAACACAATATTTAGACTAGTTTGTCGTCAATGATAACTGAAAAAGACAGCAGTGTTTTTCTCCTGATTTAAATGTTGTTGTTTTTATGTGTAGTCTAACAACGCGGAGTGAATAAGCACGTAAATAAATATAATTGAATTTTTTTTATTTCCCCATCGATTGATTGGACCGAAGTGCTCGATCTCAGGTTGACATGTTGGCTTCTAGTGCAGATGCTTCGACGATGTCTGGGCATTTGATTAGTATTTAATTGGTGGATGGTGACTAGCAGTGGAATCCGGGGTGTGCATTTCGTCGTATTCGGGACTCGTCAGCTAACTGGATGTACCTGCATTTCTCAGTGAGTGGTGATGAGGTACATCCAGATGACGAGTCCCAAATAGGCCGAAATGCGTATCATGGATTCCACTGCTAGTCACCATCCATCAATTAAATATGTAAATATATTTTAAAAAATTGAGCAAAGAATATCCTTCTCGATAATTTCCTCTTCTATCTCTACAATTATATACGCAGAATATATTACAGAATAGTCATTGACAATATTGCTGTTTTTCTTCAATATCATCGTTTTGTTAAGACCAATGGACTCCATTATGGATAAAATCAGTCAGTGTTATACAGTAATATTTACTGATGAGACCACCTTTCAAGTACAATTTATTACTGCTTATAATCATATCAAGGCATTACTCACAAATTTTTTTGCTTCATTTATATACAATATAAATCTTACTGTATAACAAACACTGTGATTTTATCAAAATAAAATTTTATCCGTAATGGAGTCATACTGTACCACCATGCTCAAGTTTTAAACTATGACAATAAGATCACTGAAACGAGATTTTAAGAAAGACGCTTTAGTTATATCAAGCATAAAAATGTAATAGGAAATAGAATATCAAATAAAATTAAGGAAATCTTCACAACAAATTGAGGATCATTAAAACCTTAGTGGCCAAGGTATCTATATGTGTATCTATTACTGCTCCTGTGAAGCCAGTTATATAGGTAGTACTATTAGGCGCGTTTATGGTAGGATCTCCTAACGCCATCCTATGTGGTGTGAGGTTAAGCAAGGGAGAAATAAAATCCAACCATAGTTCTATACTGTCTCCAAAGCCTCAGGATGGTCGGGGGTGGGTGTCTTGCGCTGCGGGTTGGCCACCCCTCCGTACACCTCTTGAAATGCTCCCATATGACCAGGCGTCTTACATAGCCTCTCCTGAGGAAGTCCTACTCACTGCCTTCACGTGGCGGAGGTGTTTTTCACCAAAGTGAGAGGGCAAAAGCGGATGCCCGGCGCTCTTCACCGGGTTGACTGTCCATTGGATGACAGTCTAGGGGAGATGGCTAAACCCTGATTCCAAACCTCCAACGACTGGCGTATGAAGCTCACCGGCAGACGTATGGACAAAGGGCTTATTGGATGCCCTGGATGACTGGCCCCATTCAAAAAGGCGAATGAACCGGACTCCGGTCACCGGCTGCCAATGGATAGTGTACTCCCTACTCCACTCCTACTGCCTTGTAGGTCACACTTGGTTGTGTAAAGGCTAGAGCTGCACTCTCAAACAAAAGGCCGAGCGATGCTGGGGACATCACTCGTACCCAATTCCCATGAAACTTCATGGTTCATGAAGCCGGCTCATCCTCCCGTAGGAGATAGCCGAAGTAAACCTAAAAAAACCTGTCTCATCTTGCGGGTACAGAAGATAAAATTAATGTTAACAAGGCAGCTTTCAAAGTCATCTACCACATACCAGCTAAGCTTAACTTTCTCTTAAGAGTCCGTCTATTACATACTTATTGCTGAGGCTGGCTGTTGAGATCTACATTAAGAAGCCTAACTAATGTATTCAAAAGAAGTCGATTGCTTCAGACATTGTCCTTACTTTGGCCGTCAATGAAGGTTTTAATGATCCTTAATTTGTTGTGGGAATTCCCTTAATTTTATTCGATACTCTAT